AAAAAAAAAAAAAAAATCCATTTAAAATGCCAATAATCCAATTCAAAAAATTATTATGCAACTTAAACTGCACAATTAAAAATTATTGGATAAATAGTAGACTTTGACATTAGAGCTCTTCTTCTATTTAATTATCTATATTTTGTAATTTAATACAATTTATATTATAAAATAAGAAATTTAATCCAATTACAGCCGTTTGATATTCTGATCATCTAATCAGAGACAGCTACCCTTGATCATGATTTTTTTGGCCTTGGCTTGATCATGATTGGTCCATGGCAATTCGTTACTTGATTATAAGTCTATAATGACAACCTAGAAAGGCAAAAAGCAAGGCTGTTTAAGGACCACCCAAGGGGGCGTCTAGAGAGTCGCCTCAAGACTAGTCATTTCCCTTCCCTGCAATTTGAACATTGAAGCCCAAAAAATGGGAAAACCATTTCACTTTTTCTTTTCTAATCGAATAAAAAGAAAAACTGAATTGCAGTTTATCTTATTGAGCTTTATTTAGTCATTGTTGTTATAATATTAGACTTTATTTTTTATTAATGATTAATTATTTTATAATTTATAAATTAACCCTTTAATTTAATTAAAATTTCAAACTCTCATTAACTACTTAAAAATCTCTTCTTCCTCCATATTTCTGTACGTTTAAAAAAAACCTATTTTACAAGTTATGCAGGCATATTACAAAACAGAATCATGAGAAAAAAAGAAACTTTTTAATCAGGATAAACTCAAAAATTAGAAAAGAAAAAAAAGGTTAAAAAAACAAAAGACCCAAAGCATGAGAGACAGGTTGTAGACTCTTAAAAGGCCCATATGTTTGATTAAGACCTTTGTTGTGATTGAGGGACAAAAGAAAATTCATGCATTCGAAATAATTGCTTAGTCTAAAACAAAAAAGACTTACTTTAACTTTGACCCTTCTCTTCTCTCTCCTTTCATGGTAGACCCAACTTCCTCTCCCCAAAGTCTCTTGCTTTCTCTTCTCTTTTCTCTCTCTCCACACATTTTCAGGGCAGGAGCTCTCAAAAGTGGTGTTTATTGAGAGAGAGAGGGGGACTGGAGAGTGGAGAGAGAGAGGAAGCTTTTGCTTTTTACTCCACTCCTAGAGAAAGGGGCTCAAAGTTCTGGTCTTTCAAGCTATAAGGTACTTGCTTTTCTGTTGGGGTTCCTTTTCTCTTCACTTTTAACTGGTTTTATGATTTGCTCGGTAGGTTTTTGCTTGTCTTTACACTCTAGTTTGTTTTTTAGCGTCCGAGTCTTAGTGGGGTTTTGGATCCAATTTGGTGGGTCTTAGTTTTAAGATCTGCAAGAATTTTCTTTACCTTTCCTTATCTTCTTCTCTTTGGCTTCTGGCGTGTGCGGGGAGCTACGCAGCAACTACATTTAGGAGTGAATTCATTGATTTTCTTCTTATATTTCATCCTAATCCCCTTTGATCGTTGTAAATTTGGCTCATAAAGTATAGCTTTGGAATACTGACATTTCAAGGTAGTTGGTTTCTCTTCTATTTACTATCATGATGTAATTAAAGATTGCTTCTTGTAGTGTCTTTTGATTGTTTTCTGGAGGTAACATTTGATCAAGGTTTCATGCAATCCTGTGTTTCTTTTAGCTACTTTCTATTTTTTCCCCTTCTTTATTTGCTAATTGGATGGTAAAGTTTCTTTTTTTAATTGGAATAAAGTTATTGGGTCTTTTTTTTCCCCCCTCTTCTGGCAGTTCATTGATTTGTCTGTCTCAGGGGTTAATATAATTTATCCTTTAGAGTCATGCTGAATTAATCTGGGTTTCGTTTTATGATACATGGATCATGTGAAGGATGACCATGTTGGCTCTTGTTTGCATCTCGTTAGTATTTATGCCATCTAGTTGAATATCTCGTTATTGTGGAAAGATGGTTGCATGTTGGTAACTCTTCTGTTCGGCAAATTGCAGATATGAGCCTACCATTAAAGGGGTTGCAGGTGGAAGTAACTAGGTGGGACAGCATATTGAAGCTTGGAGCTAATTGATGGGTTTGTTTGAACTAATCTATGTAACAAGTTTGATTAGTTTCGATGGCCTCAAAATCTAATGCCAGAATATCCCCAGAAAGGCAGAGGAAACCAACAGCTGGCCAAGCAGTAGAAGGAAACTTTCACAAGACTTTACCAGTAGAGACTACAAAGACAAGCACACTGGAGATAGTTAGCCCAAAAAAACTACCTAAAGCATCACAGCAAGTTGCATCAAAACAAGTTTCAACAGCAACTGTGGAAAATGGAAAATTGCTGAACCCTCATAAATCAAAGCTTGTGGATTCTTTAACTGATAAAGTAGATTCAAGTTTATCCTTGGATGATGCGAAAGAAGTGCTGACTTCTTTTGGTACGGAAGTGAACCAGATTGGGAATTTATCAGGAGCTGACACTGAGCAAGAAAAGAAAAAATTGGAACATGGGGTTAGCCCAGCTTCAGCTAAAGTCAATAATGAGACTAGCAGTGTTGTTAAGACTGGTGGAAATGCCAAACTAAATGAACGTCCAAATTTTGTTGAGAGTGGAAAGAATAGTATGTGTAGGGGTAGCACAAGCAGTGATTTCAGTGATGAGAGCACTTGTAGCAGCTTCAGTAGTGGGATCAACAAACCTCATAAAGCAAATGATCTCCGTTGGGAAGCCATACAAGCCATCCGAGCAAAAGATGGTTGGTTGGGTTTGAACCACTTCAGACTTCTTAGGAGATTAGGTTGTGGGGATATTGGAAGTGTCTACCTTTCAGAATTGAGTGGAACAAAATGTTATTTTGCAATGAAGGTTATGGACAAAGCATCATTAGCAAGTCGTAAGAAACTTCTTCGAGCCCAAACAGAGAGAGAAATATTACAATGTTTGGACCATCCCTTTCTTCCAACATTGTATTCACATTTTGAGACTGATAAGTTCTCATGCTTGGTGATGGAGTTCTGCCCTGGGGGTGACTTGCACACGCTACGGCAGAGACAAGCAGGGAAGCATTTTTCTGAACAAGCAGTAAAGTATGAATTATGCTCGTACTCATTACCATTATAAAGTTAAAATACAAACTGAAATTTCACAATTATCTATTCTTATTTGGCACATGCTTTTGTAGCATATGTTTCACCCTCTTTGATCATGTTGTGGATTATAGATTATCTTTACCTTGTTTGCATAAGGTTGATGTTGATTTTTGTGGGAAACTTATGAGTGCTCTAAATCCAACTTAAAGGAATTCATTAAAAATAATTCATGGTACACATGGACCAATTTTTAAAAGAAAGAAGATGTGTGAAGTTACTAGAGTATCTGAAATGTGATTACAATTAGTATGCCGCTGTATAAGTTGTTTAGTGACTAATGCTACTCTGGCTCTTTTTCTTCATCTTCCCATGCTAATCATAATTATCACTTCTTATACAACCACCATCAGTGACATAGAAAATGAATTTTTTGTTTTTCTTCCTCTCTTTGAAGCTTTCTTTTAGTGACAGAGTCTCTATTTTTCTAAAGGTCACATTCCTTTCATGATTACAAGATCATTAGGATTCATGCTGCCTTGATAATGTGGCTTTGAATTTATCTCCTGATAATGAAACAACATAGGATAGTCCTAATTACGTGAAGAAACAACCTTAACTCTTTACATACTGTGTTTAGGAGCTTTATATCTTAATGGTTTCTTCTTTTGTGGCTTGTGCTTTAGAATATTCTTAATAATGCTGTGATGGTTTAATCATAATCTTGAAGGAAATAAGTTGAAAGCATATTCTGACGGTCATTGTTATCCGTCGACTTTTAAATGCAGATTTTATGTGGCAGAGATTCTTCTTGCTCTAGAATATCTCCACATGCTTGGCATTGTTTACCGTGATCTGAAGCCAGAAAATGTTCTTGTTCGGGAAGATGGACACATTATGCTCTCTGACTTTGATCTTTCCCTCCGATGTGCTGTCAGCCCAACTCTTGTCAAGTCAACTACACTTGAGTCTGAAGTCCTGCGAAAAAATCCAGTCTATTGTGTTCAACCAGCTTGCATTGAACCCTCTTGCATCCAGCCATCATGTGTGGCTCCCACAACGTGTTTCTCCCCTCGCATCTTTTCAAGCAAATCTAAGAAAGACCGGAAACCCAAGAATGAGATGGGAAACCAAGTCACTCCATTGCCTGAGCTTATTGCTGAGCCTACCAATGCTCGGTCCATGTCATTTGTAGGAACCCACGAATACTTGGCCCCTGAAATTATAAAAGGTGAGGGTCATGGCAGTGCTGTTGATTGGTGGACGTTTGGAATATTTTTGTACGAGCTATTGTTTGGTAAGACTCCTTTTAAAGGGTCTGGAAATCGAGCAACCCTCTTCAATGTGGTGGGACAACCATTGAGATTCCCAGAGGCTCCAGTAGTAAGTTTTTCAGCAAGGGACTTGATAAGGGGATTGCTTGTCAAAGAGCCACAGCATAGGTTGGCATACAAACGAGGGGCAACGGAGATCAAACAACATCCCTTCTTTGAAGGTGTAAACTGGGCTTTGATTCGATGTGCCAGTCCACCTGAGATCCCAAAACCAGTGGATATCGAGCAGCTTTGTGCTCCTGCTACATCTGCTGGCAGCAAAGGTGCTGTTGACACTTCAGCTGCCAATGACAATAACTATCTTGAATTTGATTTCTTTTAAGCATTCCACAAACTCCATTGCCTGTTTTTCCTTTCAGCCTTTTTTCTTTTTATTTTTTGGTCCTTTCCTCCTTCTTGAAGGAAATGTAGAGTCATATGATTTGTGATGATGTCCAAATTAGTGTTTTTTTATAATGATAATGACCATATGCTTGATTTTCTTTGCATAAATGAAAAGACCAAGTTGGTTCCAGCTCTTCACTCACTTAACCAGGCTATCAGTCTATATAGTCTTTTTAACTCTTGATTCTCTCTAGCATGATTAAATGATGAGGACAACCTTTTATGGTTTTATTTTTTAGGTGCTAAGATTTATCCTTGAAATTATCACTTGGGCTATATAATAATCTTATAGAGTTGAGGAAAAGTGAACTTTGATGGAAACCTTTCATATTGTGGAAAAACTGGAATGACTGTTCTATGGGGTCAGGAATAAACTTTTACTGAAAGAGTATATGTATATCCCTGCAAAAGAAGCCATTTCTTTAGAATAGAAACAAGTTGATTCATCTGTTGCTATCTTGCCATCTAAGAGTCAATGGTGAAACTTGCTGGTGGTGCTAGCTCGCCATGTTTGAATTTGAAACAAGAACCAAAAGAAGTTTTCTCATCCTCATTGTAATTATCCAACTGCAACATGGATTTGTCGCCCCAAAAATAAAAAATATATATATATACCAACAATATGCATGTCCATTATTTTGGGCCTTAAGGACACTAGATTTCAACTTTGGAGAATTCTTTGGAATTAATTTATGTTCCTTCTATACCATGACAATTGTCATTTAAAAAAAAAAAATTAAGAATTTGAGAACTATTTATATATTTATTTGTATTACTCTTAAAAAAGTTAAATAATAAAGTAATACTTTTTGTAATAAGATAATTAATCAAAATCAATAGATAATGATAGGATCAAAGTAGGGAACAATTATTTATTTACTTTAAAAAATTAAAAAATAATAATTAATTTAAGATAAACTCAAAAGTTAAAAAATAATAATTATTTTGAGATAGAAAGAGTAATTGAGTTATTAGTAATTTGTAACCTTTTTTTTGGCAAAAAAAACTCTAGGAGATACCAAGGGTGTCTCAAACTCATATACATTAATAATCCATAGACTCATCATGCTCATAATTCCAAAGCCTATCAAAACAACTATTCAGGTTCCATGTTAGATCATGACTACGAGGGGCCTAAGAAAACAGAAACTGCCTCACCTTGATACTTAGCCCAACCCTCTCCTTGTGAGTTGGCAGGCTTCCCAAGGTGTCTTGTACCAATCCTCTTGGGATAAGTCAGGTCTGATTTTCACTTTACTCCAATAGAGGGATCTAAACTTGATTAGTTTAACCCTTTCTTTTTTTTCTTGGTGGAAAAGGGAATTATCATTAAGAATTCAACAGTGACAAATCATGGTCCAATACACAAAACAATCATCTTGATCATGGGAGAAACAAGTCATACAAAAATAAGGAACAGAATCAAGGGTAACAAAATGCTTCTTCATTGTT